CGCGCGATAATACTGTTCTAAATACAAATGATTATTATATAATAATATTATTAAATTTTGCTAGGACCGTATTAGTATGACAATCAATTATACGCTACTTGACAAAACGTCAAATGGTCGTATCTATTGTAATCATACTACTTGGACAAAGACGGTTCATTACCATGTTTAATACTATAAAACTGAAATCATTATATTTAATCTCAAAGGAAGATAGTCTAAAACGGCGACGTATGAAAAAGGTTATATTCCTTTGTTTGACAATATTTAGTTTGCGGGTCGTAAAATGTCATGGAATGTCAAAAAAAGAAAATAAAATAAAGGATGCTATATTGTATCTATAACGGTAGGAATATATGGCCTATGAAAATGATATTGGCATTTTTTTGCAAAAACCCGACCAAGAACATTTGGGCACGTTCAAAGTCTTAGTCAGAGTTTAGCCATTTTCATGATCTCTTATCCGATTCTGTCTTTTAATATATTTAATAACAATTACTGCAAATATTAACTTTTGATTGCGTAAAGAGGCTGTGTCTATCACCATTAATAATCTTCGAAATATAAATGCGGAAACTAGAAAAAAAAAGAGGAAAATAATAAATTAAATATCCATTTTTCGTACATATTTACTTCAATACAAAATAAACAAGGTTTTGGGATTTTAATGCAGAAGTTGAGAAGAATTTTATGTATTTATTTAGACATTTTCAATTTCTTGTATTTATTCGGATTTTTTTTAATAAATTTATGTATTTAAATAGTTCGTGTGGATAGACAATCGAGTGAAATATTGAAAGTAAAAAAGCTTACTGTAACAGTAAAATCCAATGATTAGTTAATAATTAAGTGACAATGCCTAATGCATATGATTTAGCATGAGAAAAAGGTTAAAAATATCAATGATTAAATAAGGTGGACGATTGCATGTTTTGGACCGTTCATGAATGTTTTGTCTCTCCTGAAACATGGACCACCACAAACAATATTACATCAAGGGTCTGTTGTTAATTATTAACGACGTAAAAATTATCCAAATTTTAATTAGCGAAATAAATAGTGATGCGTGATTGATAATGATATGAAGAATAAAATAAAAAAGTAATAAAATAAAATGAGTTTTTACTGTCTGAACACAAAAGTCAAACTCTCATGGGAAGAAGTGAAGTCGTTGCTTTCTCACAGACCGAGGTTTGAAACTTGTCATATTCCATTCTCACGCGCCTACGTGGACCCGAAGACTTTCCCATGCAATTACACTTTTTTTTATATATAAAACTACTGAAATTTAAATTTATATCGATTTTTTTATAATCTATAGTACAATTCGAAGTGATTGTTCATTAGAAAAACTCATGTGATTGTTGAATAGGAAAAACGAAAGAAAAAAAATTGTTTTGGATGTTAATTTGGATTTGCGGTTCATTAGCGTTAGTTGAAAATGTTAATGGACAAAAAAAAAATCACACTATGATAGGAGATTAATATAATTACATATTGATAAATGTAACTAAGATTAAAATGGACGATTATTTTTCTAATACTTTGATTGCGGAAATAGAGGAGAGCTAAGGACAAAATGAAAAATTCTATCATTAAACTCGTAGAATGTCATCAATTTCTAAATTAATAAATGAATTTTAAAATTTTGTATAAAAATAGTGTCAAATATTTGTATAGTTCCTTTTAATCTTTACAAGATTTATGATTTTACATGACAGTCGGAAATTTTAAAATTTGTGCATTAATATGCCAACAGATTTTGTGGTTTTTTCACTCTAAATAATATAGCAAAATTTATAAATAATAATAACTCAAAATATATATAACTATGTTAAATTTTAAAAAAAGGTATATTAGAATTTTAAATTAAAAAAAAAAAACAAAAGAAGAGGGAAAAATTAATGTAAGTGACAACACATGGGGAGTGTCCAAAGAGGATAAACCTGCCTAGTGCCCACCCGGCACCTCCTCCTGTCCCATTTATGCCACCGTCCCCCTTCTTGTCTTCCCTCTGCCCCACATTCTTATTTACCCAAAAAAATAATTATTTATTTATATATATATATAACAACAGCAAAATCATATGATTAAATTTACCCAAACTATTTTATAAAACTAAACGTCTCTTTCTTCGCTTTCTACATATATGTATACGTCCATTTGCATTTTTGCCAAACGCCATGTCTACGTCTACGTCTACTCGTCGCAATTACAATACGCATCCCATGCATGCGTATGCGTGTTTTGTCTGTATGTATTTTCTGCCACGTGTCAAAATGACACGTAGACGCTTGTGAGAATCTGGTCCAATTACTTGCGCAAGTGAAAAATGTCATAAGTTGAAAAAAATCAAGAAAGCGTACGGAGATTTGACGATGACACCACCAATTATGTCTTAACGGTCACGGAGATTAAGGCACTGTTATTTGTTTTCGCTTTGGAACTCGCTTTTGAAAGAGACGTTGCTTTGTTTCATTTTCTTTAATACATTTTCTATGTTGATTTGGATTAAGCAAATCTTTTTTTTTTATTCATTTCGAAAATTAAGGCATTTATTCTGAAATTATGGAAAATTTATATTATTATTATTATTATCTGTTTAATTTAAATCTTTTTATTTATAACATATAACTCAAATAACAACAAATCTTCAATAATATTTATTCAGATCTCTATCAATTTATTTGAATTTTAAACATACTTCCACAAAATATATGGAAAACTTACCACGTAATCACCGATTAAATGAATATTAATTTTTCAAAATTTTCTTACGAATTTATAAAAACGTCTATAAATTTTAAACCAAATATCTTGCAGAAAATAAAAAAATCAGAGATGTCTTCTGCATTTTTTTTTTTAAATCAGTAGAATATTATGAGCAATCTCAAATATAATAGACACACTCTCGTTAAGCACAATTTATTTAAAAAAACAAAACAAAAATTGCTGACAAAAACGACGTCGCATGGGTAATCTCGATTTCACGAATAGTTAACGTCAAGTTATGGCGCGTGCGTTTCATGAAACTCGTGCTTCCTCAGACCCTTTATAGTATAGTCTTACGTGGTCTACCCTCTGTAAAATCCAGAATCATATTAATTTAATATCTTCATTTAATTTATTGTTTTCATGTGAATCAATAATATTACGAGCTTAGAATTATTTGAATCTATTAAATATATTATTAAAAACGTGTTGGATTTTGGGTTTATAGACAGACTCTGTGGTAGGTGTCGTAACGTCTATGATGATGTGTCTGCTCAGAACCATTTAATGCTAATTCAGACCAAAGTAGTTTTAGTCAGTTTAAGTTTGATCCTCATATTAAATTAAATTATTTTTTTAATTATAATTCAACAGTAAGCAGCCTGTTCATGTTCATAATCTGCAAGATCTGTTCATTTAATTGTTCATGAAACTAATTTAACTGAAATTTTAAGTTCGTATGTCATATATTATGAGACATTTATCCATTTAAGTATTAAAATTCATTTTTCTATCACATTAAACCAAAAAACAATTCATTTTTCCATGTATACGTATTACGGTTTTTCCTTGGCCGCAATAAGAACAACATTAATAAATCTATAAATCGAAATATAACCGAATAACATATAACATATGGTGTTATAAAAAAAACATATAACATATGATCGTATATAAATAAAATCTGATATAAAATCGATAGATATACCTATCCCCCATAAAATAGAATGCGTATTTGATTTGTACAAAAACAAAATAATCTAATATACATACATATATATATATATATATATACACACACTTGTTGGGCTTGATTTCTCCTGGAGATGGGCCGTTCCATGGATCTTCACTGTTAGGGCCATAAATATATATATATATATATATGTATGTATATATATTTGGATGTTTTATCTCCATTTAATTTCCTAACTTATACTTGGAAATATAAAAATAATTTCTCGAAGTACGCTTAGAGCGATCTATACATATAATATATATACGGTGGATAGGAGAGTACGTTTACAGTGGCATTTCTGTAATATTCAAGGCGAGACGGGGGTAAGAACGAGAGTGAAAACATTCAGCTGGTCAACTGGTCAAACTTTATCCCTGGTCAATAACATTTCCTATTGGTCCATTGTTTTTAAAAATAATTTAATTTCCATGTTAAAAGTGAGTGATGGCCAATTCAATAATGGATACAAAACTACATCCACATTGACCTGTACTGTTGCACGTTGACTGTATTAATTTTATACAATTATATTTGCATATTTATTTGCACGGAGTTAGGTCCCATAATTTCAATCCATATATAGGATTTTCGTATATGCATTCTGTATCATCCATATTTTACTTCGATCAAATTAAAATTTAACGACAAACAAGTATTTCAAAGATAGATAACATTATTTAATCCATACCATTTAAACCATATATCAAAGCAATTACCGGCGCAAATATTTTTTTTTTATTTTTTTTCGAAAATATTTTTATTACCTGTCTAATAACACACTATTTCCGTATAATTACCGCGGGGAATATTTTTTTTATGTTCTTTAATTTTATGAAAAGCGGACCTTCGAATGATGAAATAATTCGGTCCGACAAAAAGTTAAACTTGTTACCGAACGAAAAGCCGGCAGACGAGACTTATGCAATTTATATATACATATAAAATTTCATTTCTATAGCAGCCCTAAATAATTTCAGCCTTCGGGATGCCAACGTCAATATTGGCATTATATTATAATATATTATATATTACATAAAATAAATAAATGCAAGGATAAGCCGTCTGTGTACCATAAAGTAGGATGTGTGGTGTGTATTCGAATATGGAGTTGATGACAAGTTGCCTAAAAACCGGAACATGGATAGAAAGTTTCTCGGTTCGGTAAACCATAAACCGGAGTTCGATTATATCAATTACCAATTCATTGATTCAAAACCGTAAAACATCCCAACCAAACCAGACATTTAAGTACTCAAACCGATGTAAACCGGTCAGTGGTTGAACCAAACATAACTTGACGACGTGAGTTGGCGTGTTCAAAGAAAATTAAACGAGTCAAGCTTTTGTTCTTTGTCCAAGAACATTAGAATCTTCCAAGAAGTTGTCCACGAATATATATATATATATATATATATAAATAGATATATATAGCGCATCGATATCATTCTCAAATCGGCAACACAACTTCACCCCCTCCTCCTCCTCATTCATCATCACAATCATCAATCATCAATCATCACCATCATCACCATCTTCTTCTTCTTCATCATCATCATAATCCGCCATGGAATTATCACCGATGAGAAAATTACCGGCGAAGAAGCTAACAAGACGAAGAACGAAAAGGGTGTGGAGGTTGAAGCTTAAGCTGACGTGGAACGCCGTGAAGAGGTCACTGTTATCAACCATACCCAAGAACCGGGTCGGGTTTCATCTTCCGGGTTGCGTGTCAACCAAGAAGCAACTCTCACTCGTAAACCCTAGTAATGATCAAGAACTCGCCCTCGTGGCCCAAAAGATCAACGATTCCGACAAAAACTCGTCCGGTCCGACCAAAACCCTAGCCTTTCTCCTGCAGTTACCGAAATACTCCGCCTTGGATTTCATAGACCGAGGAGATCTAATGACTCCAGCAGCTTCACCTAGAGAGAATATATCGAAAATGTGGAGAGAGATTCACGGTTCGAACAACTGGGAGAATCTTCTCGATCCTCTCCATCCATGGCTGAGAAGGGAGATCATCAAGTACGGCGAATTCGTTGAAGCCGTGTACGATTCTCTCGATTTCGACCCGTTATCCGAATTCTGCGGAAGCTGTAGATACAACAGGAACAAGCTCTTTGAAGAGCTTGGCTTGGCCAGACATGGTTACAAGGTAACAAAATACATTTACGCCATGTCGCACGTCGATGTTCCACAATGGTTCTTGAGATCTGCGTTGGGCGAGACATGGAGCAAAGACTCGAACTGGATGGGGCTTGTCGGCGTGAGCTGCGACAGAGAGTCTCGTCGGATTGGGAGGAGGGACATTGTTGTGGCCTGGCGTGGAACCGTGACTCCGACCGAGTGGTTCTTGGACCTCAAGACGAAGAAAGAGCCGCTGGAGAGGAACGGGACCCACGAGAACGTCAAGGTTCAGAGCGGGTTCCTAAGCATTTACCAGTCGAAAGGGGAGAATACCCGTTACAATAAACAGAGCGCGTCCGAACAGGTGATGGAAGAGATTAAACACATGGTGAAATTTTTCCGAGACAGAGGTGAAGAAGTGAGCGTGACCATAACCGGGCATAGCCTAGGAGGAGCATTAGCACTTCTCAACGCCTACGAGGTTGCGAGAGACATTCCAGCGCTATCCAACATCTCTGTGATCTCATTCGGAGCACCGAGGGTAGGTAACTTGGCGTTCAAGGAACGTCTTAACCATCTCGGCGTGAAGGTTCTACGGGTAGTGAACAAGCAAGACATAGTCCCGAAACTCCCGGGAATCGTCTTCAACAAAATCCTCAACAAGATCAACCCGATAACTTCGAGGCTCAACTGGGTCTACCGCCATGTCGGGATCCAGCTAAAGCTCAACGTCTTCAAATCGCCATACTTGAAACAAGATTCAGACCTCGCAGGTTGCCATAACTTGGAAGTGTATCTCCATGTCTTGGATGGGTTCCACAGCAAGAAATCCAAGTTTAGGGTTAACGCCAGGAGAGACGTTGCGTCGGTGAATAAGAGCACTGATATGTTGATGGATGAGCTGAGAATACCGGAGTTTTGGTACCAAGTGGCTCATAAGGGTTTGATTCTGAACAAACAAACCGGCCGATGGGTTAAACCGTGTCGCCGGCCAGAGGATATTCCTTCGCCGTTGCCGGTGGGAACACTGGAGGTTCCGTGGTGAATTCCGACAGAATTTTTTTTTTTTTTTCATCGATTCGATTTAACCGACAATTTACCCAATCGTCTAAAACATGTAAAGACTGGCTTATATGAAGTTTAAGTTCAAAATCATTTGAGTCATATTTGTTAATTCCCAAACATATGCAGAAACGAGAGAAAAAACAAATATTCCTAGTTTTTTTTTTTCAACAAGACATATGTATGCAATGCAAAACATGAGACACAATAAAACCAATAGCGATCATTAGAGCGTCCCCCAGACTTGAATTATGCATCGTCCCGATGTTAAATACTCGTCCGAAAAAAACATAACCATGGAATTCACAAGAGTTTAGGGTTCAAAATATACCTCGTGATATCGCACTGTACCTTACCGTATGTGGTAGACCAGGTTATATAATGATCGCATGACAAAATTTTTTTTTTTTTTTTTTTTTTGAGTTTTCATTAGTTTTGTTCATACGTTCTTCTTCTGCAACTTTCCGTGAAGAATGCTGTCTGAAATTCTGCAGCTTATGTTGTAATGATCAAACATCTGTCCCTCTTTCTCGGTATTTTTTCTTATTGAAACGCAGACATAGACAGTTTCGAAACTGATACGTAGAATGTTAAAAAGTTTCACATCTACAGAGACAGACCTTACAACAATCAAAGAAGAGAAGAATCTAAACCCTAATCACATTCAAACTTCCTATAAAACAACATCAGTCTATATATAATTCCCACAAGCAAATCTGATACAAAAACCCGAAAAAACCCTAAAAACACAAGACAGTTTTGCAGTCATCAAACAGCGGAAGAACCTGTTAACTGGCACCGAGACAATGCTCCTTCGAACTGGTGATCATCTGGTTTATGGCAGCTCAAGCATGTCGGAACATATGACCTGAACACCTGCTCGAGGTTCGGAGTTTCTTTCAGTTCACGGCAAGCGACTTCGAGGGCAGTGTGTTTGAACGCTAGGTAGAATTTCTTGCTGCAGACATATGCGAAGATCAGAGTGATGACGATGAGAGGGATCACGAGGACAGCGTAGACGAATATCTTAGCGCCCAAGTAACCGAACATGGTTACTTGGAACAGAAGCAACGCGGCCAGAATCCGCGTGTGGATGTGAGGCCACATTTGCCCATAGCTCTCGTACGATGGGACGTATACCTTCAACGCCTGCAAAAGTATAATGATCGTTAGGATCTCTATATACATGAACCCGATTTGACCTAAACCTTATCAATATTAGGGGTGGGCATAGATGGATTATCCGAGATTTTTCGAGTTATCCCTATATCTGAACAATTAGATCTCATGTGATATTACCTGATTCGATCTAAACGGATACCCAAAAATTGGTACCTATGAATCCGAGTTTAAAAACGAAATCTCGATTTTCTTCAAAATAAATATCATATTCGGGTTGAATATCTGAATTCTTTGGCTTAGGCGAACCCGAATCCGAAATTTCAATAGGTTTATGTGTAATATCTCTGAATTTTGGGGGCAAAAGTACCATTTTACTATTCATTCGAGTATCCACGGATAATACCCAATCTTGACCCTAATTACCCAAACTCGAACTCAATTTTTAGATTTTACTCGCATTATAACTCGATCTTATTCTAATAAAGGAGAAGTGAGATCTCACCTGATTTCTGAGGATGAGCCAACCTAAACCGAAGTAGGTGACGCCGAAAGGGATGATGAGAGGAGCGATAACCGAGTAACAAAATGTGATCGTGAGGACGAGCATATCGCCGGGAACCCGAGTCGCATAGCTCAAGTCTCCCGGAAACCAAGCATCTTTCACCTCTGCTTCGGTTTTGCATAGATACTTCTTCTTCAAGTGGAATATGATCAAAGGCACAATCCGGGATAGCTCAAGGCCATATCCGACAAAGAATCTAAAGCAAGAATCAGAAAGAAAGACGGGTTAACGAACAGATTTCGGGACGAAGGATGATATGAAAGTGTCGTAGATCGGGAAAACTCACTTGAGAGCAACGTAGGTCAAGAAGAAAGTCGCGCTCCTGGGGAGACTGGTCGCTAATATGGAGATGATGGAGTTAGGGTTCTTCTCGACTTTCTTCAGCGTATCGAAAAGTGTCCCACTAATGGTGACACCGATGAACACATTCAACACCGAGAAGTAGAAGTATTTTCCCGAGGCAGCTCTCTGGGCGTGGCTCTCAGAAGGAATACCCTCGGCCTTGGAGAGAAACAATAGAAGCTTTGGTAGCATTGCCAAGAAGACGATCAACGTGATCTGAGGAAGGTAAGCCTCCAAAATGGTTCTGAGAAAGGTTATATTCACAATCGGCTTAATGAACGGAAGAATCTTCTGGAGATTCTTGAGAGTGGTGATACCCGAGATGAATGTTATCGGGATCATGTAGAACAGTATCGTGAGAGCAACGATGAAGTAAACTACGTATTGCCGGATTTGCCTCGGGAAGAACTTGATGTTGAGATTCTTCCAGATGATCTGGCGTGACTCGGGAGCCTCGATCACCGTCCACTTGTCAACCGTCTGACAATGCAGAGACTGAGCAGCCGAAGCAGCAGCCACTCGGTTAGTGAAAAAAACCAATGCAGCGTTCTGCTGCTTCTCTCTGAGAGTGGATTTCTGCTCTTCTTCTAGTTTCCGTACCATTTCATCAATTTTCTCGGTGTAGTAATCGATGCTATCTACTTGTTCACCGACTAATCCGAGGAAACCGATTTTGTTCGTTGGTCGTTTCTTCGTCTCTGCATATATAGCTTCTGTCCGGGCAAGCTTCTTCTCGTAACCTTCCAATTCTTCCGAAATCTTGTTAGCCTACATTAACACAGAAGCAAGATTGAAAGAAAAAACTCGATAAAGATCGAAGCTTTGAACAAAATAGGCACTATTAAACTGAGAAAGGAAGAAACTTTAGGACAGAAAAAAAACGTATGTACGTATGTATATACCTTGCTGTTTTCTGTGACGACGAGTGATCTGTAGAACGTTTCCGGGTATATCTCTCTAAAGTACGAATCGACAAACTCCTTCTGGGTCTGACCACTAGGAGGAGGAGGCAAATCCCTGGCAAGGATGGCGAATTGCTCGGGTTTTACCTCGGAAGCCATTAGAGCTTGAGCTCTCAGCTCAGAGACATGCTGATACGCTTTCCATAGCAGGAAATAAGTGACAACGGAGATCCAGTAAACTGCAGCCAAGAACGCCCAAAGCCTCGGGCTTGATTTCTGAAAATGACAGGCAGAAACAAAACACGATTAAAACCCAGAAACCATAATCGAAAGGAGACAAAGACAAAAGAGAGAAACCAGATGGGTTATGTAGTTACAGAGATGTTCCCCATAGATAAGTTGTCGAGTTGGCTGAAAGTTCCATTGCTTGTGGAGTCTGTGATCTTCTTTATGCCATCATCTGTGGCGGCGAGGGGTAATAGAACTGGCAAGAGAATGACACCAGACAGAACCAGTATCCCCAGAACTACAAAAAAAAAAAAGACATAAGAAACATTGGTTTGTGCCCTGAGAGCTCGAAAGATTGCAAGATATAATGGCCAAGGACCAACACAAAATCACCTTCAAAAGCATCAGGTGGTAAACACAGAGCAAAAGGCCGATAAAGATACAAACAAAAAACTTCTTTTTTGGTAAAACGAATTTTAAAAATGCCACCGACAAATACAAATCTGCAAAGAAAGGGCAGTTATAGTTTCTCCTGAAAGTTGAGATTTCTACAGATCTCCATTGCTACTGGAATCAAAGCCAAAACATCAAAATATTTCTTGTGTTCGAACCCAAATCAGAACCAACGAAATCCATCAAACCCTGAATCCAAATCCATCCACCCACTGATTATCCTCTCAGATCACACACATATACACATATATATAGAGAGAGAGACGAACCAGTGCCGAGGAAGACGAAGTAAACGGCGGTATCGACACCGGACATGGTGATGACATCTTGTTCGGAGGAAGACAAGGATTCACGGATCCAAGCGAAGGGGTTCCGGGTCAAGGACCTGCCTTCCCACGGATCCATCCCTTTGAGAATCCGATTCGGGTAATAAACGACGGCGTTTCCTGGTTTCCGTGAGAGCCAAGTGAATAGAAACATGAGAACGACGAATAGCACGCAGGATGTCCCCAAGGACACCAGAAACGACTCAAATTCCATCTGGGTTTTCTGTCTGCAGAATCTCTCTCTTGCTGTGTTGTTTCTTCTTCAGTTTCAGGGTAGATTCGGTCGGAGAAAGAGGAAAAGTAGCCGTTCGAAAGCGAAAGAGGAGAGTAACCGTAAATGGGGAGAAAGAGAGAGTGTGTCCCTTCTTCTTCCTTCTGAGTGAAAGTTTTGATTTTTTTTTCCACAAAATAAAAGAAAGTTTTGAGTTTTTTTTCCCTGGATTTGATTTTGATTAATAAGAAAGTTATATATATATATATATGTGTGATTTTATATGAAAATGAAAAGCGACGTGAGAGCAGAGTGAAGAGCGTGTTTCGGAGAGAAGGAAGACATGTGTTGAACTCTGAGACAAGCAAAGTACCCTAATCCATGGAAGTCGCTTTACCCCTTGGTTTTCCCTTTTTTTTAAAAAAAAAAATATATATATTAAAAAAAAAAGGGAAACGCAAGGGGTAAAGTTAAAATAAAAATAAAAAGAAAAAAAAACTTTTGCTGATAATTGCGTAGAGGCCCCCAAATTATACTTAAACACCGAATTCTTCCCCTATAAATTCAAAGGGTGTCGATCTCATTGGGCGTGATTCATGTGATATAATATTATCCACTTTAAATACAATGGAAAACTGATATTTTATATTTAGACCATTCATTATGCAATTTTTTAAATAACTCCATATCTAAGTTTGATGCATATAACTATAAATAGATACATATTATTGGTTGCCGACGAGAGAGAGCAAAAGCCAAGTTTACGTGCCACGTAAGCATTATAAGTTCTGAGATTTGGATTTGCCGACAGAGTGACAGAAACTAAAGTGGGCCCCACCTTATCTAACTCCGCGTTTAATGTCGGCCCTTTCGATTTCGACGTGGTTGCAACACGGTCCATTAGATTTTGGCAGTTGGTTCGATAGAAGATATTTTTGCGTATCAGTTACATCACGTCGACAACCAATCTGACACGTCATCATCCCTACGAGAACATTACTTTTGTTATTATTAATATTTTGCTTTATTAATTTTAAACATAATCACTGTTGCGAACGTTTTATTTTAATCATGGAATCCGTTGGCGACAAATAAAAAAAGAAATGTCATATTTTGTTTTAATACAATATAATGATTGATTTCTCTACTTGTTTAAGTTAAGGTAGTTTAATTAATCACAATATTTATTGTTGCAATAAATATAAAACATCCAACTCCACATTTAATAAAATTAATTTCCTAGAAAATTAATATAGAAATATTACCAAGTGGATATGTTTAAGAGATAACAAGTAGTCCATTTCATATTTTGTATAATCAAATGGTTCCTTCTCGATACGACGTGACTCCTACGAATAGTCTTTTTCTTGGATTTTTTAAAATAAATTTACCATTAAATGCGACGGTGAAAGCACATATAATTTCTTCCCTTCTAAGATTTAATAATTATGTTATGTTATAATGATTAATTTCAAGAACTCGTTGGCTCGTTTCACTGTCTAATCGATATGCAGCTAATAGTTTTGATTTTACAAAAAAAAAAAAGCATAATCATTTGTGAAATATCTTCAACGGAAAATATGATATTAGGTCAAATTTTATAATTTATATTTTCTTAGCCAAACTATCTTCAAGTGAATGTCAGATTGGAAAATAGAAGTGGTTGTCAAACGCCTTTGGTTCACGTTTGGTTTTGGGTCATTGTATTAGTATATGGTTTGAGCGGTTTAGGACCGGTTGATTCGGTTTATATATATTTCGGTTCGGTTATGAGTCGACCGGCAGAAATTCCGGTTTATGATGGAATATGGGCCTTGTAATAAGGATGCTTTAATTTTAATTTTTAAAATTTTGAAGACATTTTTTTTAAAGCAAATATTGAATATAATTGGGCCAACATACAATTTGGGCTCATCTAGTGGTCCGATTAAGATAAATGGGCCTTTGGGCCTTTTATGTTTAAAGTCCATGTACTCTTTTTCAGAAATACAAAGAGGAACTACGTGGTAATTAATTGCAACCATTTATTTATTCACATGCAGAGTTTATTACAATATAAAACACTGGTGTAATTATTCGATTAAATGATTATTATCATTCATACCATTTTATTATAGCTTAGAAAATGTATTTCCCCTGAAATTACGCATGTGAAATTAAATTACATTAAATTAAATCCAAAACGAATATTAAATGGAACAAAACAATGTCTCGTCTCCGTTTGGAAAACATGTTGGACGAAATTGAGCTAAATAATTATCACCTTTATTTATATATTTTATAATTTAATTTGTTTATCTTTCCTCCTCTTTTTGCGTGTGTTAAAAAAAGATGGACCAAAAAGTTAAAGGCACATAATCAGATTTCATAATGCCTTTTTTCTTTGGTAAAAGGTATTTAAAAAAAGAAAGAAAGAAAAATTCAAGTGTTCACACCATCCCATACGATAATTAAGGCAAATAATTTATATGTTTTATTAACATATTTAATATCTGTGATTTTTTTTTCCGATGATGAAAATGACGTACATCATATGTTCAATAAACATAAAAATTAGTGTAACTCCATAAGATCATGTATGACATATTATTTTAATGGACCGTGAACAATTTGCTTACCAAACTTGTAAGATCCATTAGCATTACACTTCACAGATAGGAATCCTATATACAAACCTTTATATTATTCTTCTGTGGCCTACCCCGGTGGATATGATTTCATTGCCAGATCATATGTTACTATATATATACATACATATACACATATACATATATGATTTATTGGACACCCCGCTCTTCACACTTCCCTATCATTCATCGGGCTATTGAATGACTCGATATATTACTTTTTTTTTTGTTAAAGGTATTACTTGATGTATTATTTCTTTGATAGTTTTCATTTTCCCTAATTTATTTAGGTTTATTTGTCTATAGTCGGATCAAGTTATACGATTGATATCAAAATTATAATATACCTTTTATGGTTTATAAATTGTAGCTTTGTAAGAAAAGATTCAGAGTTTTAACACGATATAAACTGTAATATAGATAATAACATAATAAAATATTATATTGTAGTCAAATCTCATATTTGCAATTTCTCCTATATCATTTGAATCTTATATTTGTCGGCCGTCATGCCAAATTCCAGTCTCTTTACATACATACATACATACATACATACATACTACAAATTTATAGGTATATATATTGGTAATACACCGTCAGCTTATTGGTGGGCCCAAATCATAAATGCGCAAAAGGTTCCGTACGTGGTTTTATTGTTTCCTCCATCATTGATACGAGACAGTCAAAACAATTGATGGTTTTGAAATATGCATAATATATGGTATTTTATAAGAGCGAATATATGTATATAGGGTAAATTTGTTTTTAAATTTCTTATAGGACAATGGATTTTTTTTTTGGTTGCGTCCCCTTTTCATATTGTATTATTATAAGTTAAAACATATCGGAATCATACATACATGTATGTATATTATTAATTAGAGTTGAAATTTCAATAATCTCTATGATGAGATATTAAATTATTAGAGAATGGGATATATTTTCGGAAGCTGACGTGACAGAATTGGTCCCTTTGTTGAATGCACTTTCTCTAATCACTTGGATTTCACATTCTCCCAAGTGCATGATGATTGGAATCCATCTAATTGTGTACACACCTATATGTGCGTATATATACGCTGAAATACCAAGTAAATCTCGCTAATTAATTAAATTTAAAAATCTTAAGAATTTAATATCATATAATCCTTATGGCCGAATAAAATTATTCGATTTTCATTAAAAAAAAATTTTGTGGTAGGTTGGGAGGCTAATTAAATTATTTAATTGTAATTGACAGAGAAAGCGAAATTAAAATATCATTATTTAGATTACGTTTGACTATAACTTTTGCATTTGTTAGAATTGCTATATTTGCCTTCAATTAGTACTTTGAAGCACTCTATTTAATCATCATTAATCATTGTTAATGAATCCTTTTAATAACCTCTGTAACCTTTTTTTCTTTGTCAATTTCATCACTTGATTAAGGGTGTGTGGGCCCCTTTGATTTAAAACAGCATAATTAACAATATTATGTTTTTTTTTGTTCACCTTATTTTGTCTTTGTCATGATATAATGCTCTTACGAGGTAACAAGGAAAATCTTTGTTGGTGTGTTTTGTTTAATGTTGTCTTGATTTTACAATTAAGTTTATATAATTCCACTGACCGACCTTAGTTTGCAAAAAGTTAATCCAAAATAATTATAAAATATATGTATTAGAAATTATAGAAAGTTAGAGTTATCTATTATAAAATTATATTTTTAATAAATAAGAAAAACGATATATTATATATATATATATATATGTATCATATAATATCATTGATTAAATGTATCCTATACCAAATCGACATCGGATGAACAATATTTGTAGCTTAGTCTCCTTCATATTCATCTCACAAATATTTATAATTATATGTTCAAGTCCTATTATTTTAATTATACGCTTTTACGAAGATCTCGTAAAAGAAACACAATCACATTCTTATATAGTATTTTTTTTTTCAATACATAAACACGATATTCCACCTACGAAAACTAATTGATTTTCACTGAATAATTTTGATAACAGTATTCATATATATATATATATATATATATATATATATATATATCACAAATAATATTTTAAGCTTGTAATTAATGTAAGATACTATACGATTCCGTATTAATATATCTCAAAGCGTATTTATCACTGTTTTAAACTAACCAATTGAGTTATGCAACAAACTAGTACAGGTTTATATATATATATATAATTTCTAGATCTTGGATTACAATTTAATATTTGGTTTTATGTGCGAACTTGTGGAACCTATTTCTAAAGAAGTGTTCTTTTACTTTAATTTTTCTATTTTTTTTCTTTTTCGGACAAAAGATGGGTCATTAATATGTTCTTACCAACGAAAACATCCTTAAAAGATAAAATATTTCGTTCAAGGTATCTCGTGGAAAGAAAAAAAGAAATTCGTAATTATTTCATTTGTGCCAATCTGCAGCTTTTTATTCTCTTTCATAATGTTTATTTTCCTCTAACATTATGTTAATTACCCTTGTGTAAATATTTTTTTAGAAGTACCCTTGATGTATGATAATAGTTTATAAAATAGTCTATAATGTTTTGAGAAAATAAGTAAAAAATAAAAATGTACAAAAACGTAAGCGACAAAATAAATGTTTTAAAATATAATGGAATAAACGAAATGTGGGCATGTGGGATGGGGCCATGAAGTTCTGATACAAGTGGCAGTCTCCTGCAGGGGACACATGCATGAATTGGTTTTAGGGTTTTTATTTTATCTTCTTTTCACTTGGCATTTATTATTGCAAATACAGAAAATTGTTTTATTTTTCTTTAATTGTTATTTTTTTTTTATGGTTGTCTCAATATATCCATGCTACACAATCGTCAGATTTTTAATCAATATTTATGTAGCATTTCCTAATAATGTTTATAACATGCTCTAAATATTTAAATAGAATTATCATTTTGGTTATACGAAAACAATTTATTTTATTTCCAAGACTAATCCATAAACCCTTGTTCGTTCACGTTATGGCGGAGATAATCGTCGGTTCGAAGGCTTTTAAGGTTGTCGGGAGATCAGCTAGACCAAGATTCTTATATTAATTATTGTTATAATTTTGAAAATGCTGCGTATTATCTCTCTAAAAAACTTTCTATATTAATTTGTTCCTTAGAAGTAAAGCATAACTTTTCCAAATGTTTTATTTGAAAGTAATGTTTTATCCTTTTAATAAAAAAAGTATTGTCTTTCAAGAATGCAATTTAGTTTGAGAAGAAAAGTATCGAATTTACTCTAAAATGATGCAAAATAATTCGTTTAATAAGGTTCATTATTAGTGGCGGACCCAAAACATTTTATTAACGGAGTCGTTAATATATATAAACATATAAATTTATAAGTATAAACTTAATTTTATTGGGGTAATATAATAATTTTACATAAAATTATATAAAATTTATAAAAAAAAAACAAAAAAAAATCTATAAGTTGTGGGGGGGCCTATGACCCCACTATTGATCAAATGGATCTGCCCATGTTCATTACTATTTTTATAGATGATATGAACCGTATGTGTGTGTATATATATATATAATATTTTATTTTACGAAAATGGTCGATAAGTGAAGGTGTGGGGGGCAAGGGTAATTGCGTGTAGCAATGGAACACCAGAAGAGAGTGAAAGCGACCAATAGGAAGACCCCTACTGCTGTTGGTACAGATCACGTCCCATCCCCTAATATTTGTGGGTCCCATTTTTTTCTCATCCAACGGTTGGCATTTAACTCCTTCTTTCTCGCGCATTACCCTTTCTTAATTAATTAGCCAGAATAATTTTAATAAAACATAATAATTTAATTACCTTTTATTATATTATATATAAAAAAGGTATATTTTGGAGCAAATTATTTTAATAATTTTACTATTGTATTTAGGGCTTGTATCGACACACGTCGTTTCTGCAAAGTATTCATACGCGTATTCTTATTAGCGTAAATTGAATTTGTAATCCTTTTGAGATAATTAAGTATACAAATTTGCTCAAAATATACTTATATCCTTTTACTTTTAAATATTTATGTCATTTTTCCGATTTTTTTATTCATGTTTACTACGTGTACCAACTGCTTTATTTTTTTAGATTTAAAGTAATAAAATGTGTTAGCAAGTTTAGGTTTGGATAAAATATTCGTATTTTTAGATATTCAATCGGACCAAGAGTTCAGGTATCGGAATAACTCGATTTAAATATTTATTTATGAAATTGCGATTTCTATAAATCGGGTAATCAAATTTGAGTTTAGAATATTTATATATTATGGATATTATCGGTAATCCAACCACGCACGTAAATTTGAAAATAACATATATTTCTCATACCAAACATATTGTTATTAAAAAAATGCTTCAATTATTTTCAAATCACTAAAACAAATTGAAGTCCTAGAAAAAATTCCACTTCTATTTCACATATCACATAAATAATTATTGATGAAATATCAAATGAAATGGTGAACCATTACCAAAAAAAAAGACAATATTAAAACGAAATTTCAATAATGCATCCATCAGTGTCGCCCTACAAGACTGTGGCGACGTACGGTACGTACTAACATTATCTGCAGAGGATGTTCTGCCGATCTTATCCCTGATATTTTGCGAAATCACACGTGTTTTGAAAGGGTAGTTTTGTTATTTCAATGATAAAACCCTAGAAACAAATACGTCCTGTCATTCTTCTCGGTTGATTTCATTGTCTATTTATTGAATATTATTACTTTGCATTATTCATACACTTATTTTTCATGTGACGCAATCAAACAATGAGCCAAAAAAATAATACGACCAAGAATACTAATCCATGGACTTTTGATATAAAGCATAAGATTCTCGATTTTATTATTTAAAGGTAAAATGACATTTTCCTACACCAAACTTTGTAGAATGTGACCTTTTCCTATACGAATTTTTAATTTGACAAAAAAACTACATCAAATTATCAAATGTGCCAAATTGATACACGAACTATTCGATTTAACTGCAATTTCCTACACAATCCGAAAACGGTGTTAAGTGTCCGTTAACCGCTAACGTGGCATGCCACGTGGCGGCTGACGTGGCACGCCACATAGATTTTTTTTGCCACATCAGCATGTCACGTCATATTTTTTAAAAAATTCCGAAAAATATGAAAAAAAAATCGATTTTTTTTTTAAATTTAAAATAAAATAAATAAATAGCAATATATATATATATATTCATATCTATATACAAATAAAAATAAAAATATATATACTCTTATATAAAAATATATAACTATATATATACAAAATAAAAAATATACACATAGATATACAAACATCTATACAAATATATATAAATATACATACAAACAAATATAAACATAAATACTTCTATGTATATATATATCTATATATATCAAATAAAAATATACACATATATACATGCATTTATACAAATATATATGCATATACATACATACAAGTATATTTATATATACACACATACATATATATATAAATACATATACATGTATATGAATACATATTTATTATATATACACATATACACATACATATATATAAATATATACATACATACAAAATAAAAAAATATACAAGTATATATATATATAGGAGTATATATGTTTATATTTGTATTTGTACATAGATATGAATACATATATATA